TTTTTTTTTTTAAGGGAGATGATGCTCCAATCTATTCGTGGGGAGCAACACGGCGGGGAACGGGGCCCAGCGTCGCTTATCAGAATACAAAAAAGAGCTACCGGGGCCATTACCCGGCTTCGGCTAAGAACAATTGAAGAAAAAGAAAAACTCAGAAACCTTCAGAAAATGTGTGTCAACAACCCTCCTAACCACGAATCAGATAGGTGAAACCTATTCAGTCCACCTGCGACCACCACCAGCATGGCTGTTTTCAGCACAAACCGAAGCTCTTCCAGGCCTCGTGCTCCCATCAGGCTAGGTTACAGAGTTGCACCACCTTGCTCCAGCGCCGGCCAGCATTGCTTGCTGCAGTCACGACCCCCGATGACCACTGAGACTGCCCCCGCAAACAGCCCTCCAGATCTCTCTACCAGGCTTCACGCCCCCACTAAGCTAGGTCACAGAGTTGCCCCACCCGGCTCCGGCTCCGGCTCCGGCTCCGGCCAGCGTCGCTCCAGCATCGGTCATCGAGGGCCACCAAATTTCCAACCACCCTACGCAGGATCAAAGATAACTTGCCAAATTTCACCTATTCCTACAACGTCCTTGAGAGGCGAACCAAATGGAATGACTGGAGAGAAAAAATTGCTGGACTGGAAGATTAAAAATCTGAAAATCACCCCTCCCTCCCCTTACCCCCTCAGCCCTACACTGCCCCCGCCGAGGCGAGCGTCCCGCTCTCCCTCGGCCCCAATATTGGACCAACCCCCTCCACCCCTGTCCCCGAGGACACGCAGTTCCCTCCTAAAACATGCCCTCGCCACCCCTTGCCCGTTTCTGCCTCCACTGAGGACGATGTTGACCCCTCCCACCACCCCAGCCCCAGAAACAGGACAAACCCCCAACTCCGCTTCTACCCTCTTCGAGACATTCACCCCCCTCCTTGTGAATCCCCTGCAGGATAGCTCTCCCTATCCACCCCACTCTCCCAATTCTACCCTTCTAAAATAATCGATCCAGCCCACAGGAATAAACTCGGAATTTTCTCTTGAAAATGACCCGTTGATCGGAATTTTCTCTTGAAAATGACCCGTTGAAGAGGGCGCAGGGCAGCAGTAAAGCTTATTACAATTGTTCCCCTTCCCCTTGCGCCCAATGAACAGATGACAACTCCCACCAATTTAGAGAGCAGAAAGTAATTTTCGGAAAAAACTATCAGAATTTAGGCTATGATAGTAAAGTTCAGAAACACTCAGAATTTTATTAAAGGGTATAGTCAAGGAACAAAACTACGTAATCATCGTGATGATTCCTACAGATATGCTAACGATTCAGAATAGATGATGTTAAAGAGAAACTAGGACCAAACTAAGATTGTAATTTTGAGGAGATTGAACTTACCTCGAAAAGGCTGCGAATATAACCCCGATCATAGAGACTGAACTTACCTTGGAAAATAGCTGCGAGTATAACCCCGATCGTAATTATCAAATTGTCATAGGATTTAACAGCAATAGCGATTACCCTAACCAGAGCTATCGGACAAGAACAGCAGTTATACATCCATACGAAAATACAAGATCAACTCGTCGAAGCAAAACGTTGTCCAAGTCCCTTCCGGATGCCCGCGCTTGAATGATCTTCCTCCTCCCACTCCACGTGAGAACGCGTTCCTCCCTTCCGCCCGCGACTCCCAACCAACCGCCTCAACACTTCGCAGGAACAGAGAAACAAGGTCTCAACTATGGCCAAAGTCTCATGGAGATCGCCCGTCTTCCAGCGACAGTCTCCCCTTCGCCAGCGTGCCGACTGCGACACCACTTGGACAAAGCGCAGAGCCGAAGACAACTTTCCTAATTGGCAAAGCTGTAAGAGCACCCAAGCGAAGGCTTACACGTTGATGACCATCCAAGATACACTCCACGCGCTAAGCGATAGCAGCCCCAACCACCATCACCCTTATGCTTACGTGAGATTGCCCGGAACCGCGCCAGCAGACATGAAGACGACGAAGCACCGTGGGTGTGCGACGAAAACCGCACCAGCAGACATGAAAACGACGAAGCACCACGGGCACGCGACGGACCGGGCTGATGGCAGGGCGGGAGGCGCGGCGCTCCCAGTCGCGCCGCGCCTTCCCCCAGAATATCGGCTCAGGAGAAAACCAATTTACCTGCAAGTGGCGGGACGGCCCAGCAGAAGGGTACGAACCATTGACTCCTAAATGTATGAACTTTGAGCTCATCGCTGATTCTATTCCTACTGATAGAAGTCCAATCTGGCAAAATGATATCCTTTTATCTCCTTAAGCATCTATCTTTGAAGATCCTGAGGGCCAGAGTATTACCATTGGGGCCTCGCCATAGAACCCAAAGTCCGATGGCGCTTGATATCCAAGCAATTCTTGAGGCAAAGGAGGCTGGATAGCCATCCGCTTTCAGCAGGGCGGGTTTACTCCAAATCTGATCGCATGGGTCGTTTGGGTATGCTGACGCCCCGGATAAATTTCCACCATTTTCAAAATGCCTGTGCCAAGCTGCAGGACCACCATAGATGGGACGGGGCTTCCACAGACGACGTAGAGCAGGATGAGCAAAAGATGGAGACATGCATTATTCCTTTTGTGCCACACCACTTCGTTGTGGGGACACAACACAATGCATGTATAGCCATCCATAACAAGCCCGCCTGTTTCGCTGATGGGAGGGATTGAATGATTTTCCCATAATCACGGCACGAGTCGAAGTGCAGTGAGCTGAAGCCTTGAACATTTGAAACGTTGTCCCAATTGGTCTCGACTCTCGACCGTGTAGGCGAGCGAGCCTATTAGCTTGGGCTTGGAGCTTGTGGCCTTTGGCAACGGTATAATCCAGTATTGAAATGTGAAATGTCCCTTCCCCCATTGGCCACCACTTTCCAGCCCGCTGCCAGCGGATGAATTTTCGCTGGGAGTAGTGGGATTCCTCCCTCCCAGGCCAAACCCGTAAGAGACTACCCATACGCAAGGGGCCTACAATGGATCAGCCCCCAAGAGCCCATGAGATTCCTAGGAATCTCGGTCTCAGCAGAAGGAACTAGCGACAGCATAGGACTGAACACATTGGCCAAAATCATAAACAAGCTAGCGGGTTGGCAGAAAGTCTACACCTCGCTCATGGGGAGAGCTCTAGTGCTAAACACATCCATCTTCTCCATGGCATGGTACACCGCATCGATATGGGACCACCCCCGACACTTCGTGTCAGCACTGAAGAAGAAAGCGGGGGCTTATCTATGGACAGGCGATCCAGCCAAGGATAGATACATCTCGAAGGTCGCTTGGAATACATAAGCAGAGCGATTAATCAAGGCAAAATTCACTAAGGTGTGGCTCACAGGGGGCAAAGTCGCAGAGATAAATGACCTTTGCGTAAGGTGGAAAGACTGGCACAACTCAGAAGCAGGGTGGAGAAGGCAAGAGTTCCCAGCCAGCAGACGGACAAGATCCATCACTGGCCACATAATATCGAAGGGCAATTTCCAAGTCTGCATCCTACGTAGCTTCTTTTACCTTTCTTGCTCTTTATTTTTAGTTGACAGGCTCA